GAATTATGGAACGCCATCTAAGCGGCAACGTTCCGGCGTCCTCCTCAGGGTTCCAAGAGACCGAGGCGGCAGCCCCATCGAGTCCCACACACACGTTCCGCATGACCTCGCGCCCTTCCTCGTCTCCAGTAGGCGCCTCAGTGCCCGTACTCTCGTCCCTGTCGCTCGACACTGCGCTTACCACAGGTAGCGACGTTCCTTCGGACTCTTCAACCTCCCGGAAATCTCGGTTCGCGCGCTTCGCTACCAATCCAGCCAATACTCTGGCGTTCCCATGTCTCCAGAAGAGACCTCCCGAGTGCGTTCCAGCACTTCCTCTGGTATTCCAAGCACAGCGCTCATATCCGCGAGCGTCGGCTCCTCCTGCTCCTTGGCGTTCCGCTCGGCACGCTGTAAAATCGTGTCCTCGTCCACCTGGATCAACCTTTCCTCCAGTTCCTTATCGTACTCCTCGGGTTCATTCTGTACCCCCGGACCGTCACCGCGTTCTAGTATATCCAGCTCTGTATCGGTAAACAAACGGTCGTATTGTTCTGTAGAATTCATCCCCTTGGTACTCTCCTCGTCATCCTCGGTGTTCTGAGCGACGGGTTCCACCCGCCCTGAGCTCACTTTTCCTATGATCGCCTAGAACTGATTAACCCTGGTTCCCGTGGCGTCTTCTGATGTTAATTCCAGCGCACCCTTGCTTCGCTCGGAGCTGACGGCCTTGTCTACCGTCTTCTCTCGTTCCTTAAATTCCCCCTGGGGCTTCAACGCGGCCTCTGAGCGTTCCGTTGCTCCTCTGCTGGCGTCCTGTACCCGTCTTGGACGTTCCGTTGTCCTTGCTTCCCAGTCTTGGGTCACGTCGTGGCGTTCCTTTGCCTCCGCCGTTCCCACTCTTCCTCGTTCGGGCCGCTCCGTAGAGCCCGTGATCTCCTCGTCTCGTTCTGATCCAGCCCGTTCCATTGGACTGCCCTTGTCGTTCGTTTCAGTTGTAATATCCACAGTTTCCGTCCTTACGCTCGCGACAGGAATGCGAGCGCCTTCATAGCTTTTCCCACGTTCCACTTGAGCCTCCTTGACTTCACCAGTAGTTCTTGGCGAGCCTGAGACGAATAGGCTCCTCCGACTTACTAGCCCTCTCGGCGTTCCTGGCCCTAGCTGTTGCGTCCTCATCAGCTGATTCATCTGACGTAGCTCCTGGAGCACTTGGGTCTCCGTCGAAGCCGCTTCATTCGTCCTTGGTTGTCCCATGACTTCGCCGGCGAACTCGTCTTCTTCCTCGACAGGGAGATGCAGGTTCTTGTACAGCAGCAGCGCACACGCTTCAGGAATCGACGTGACCATGCTCGCGTCCAGTACCGCCTTTATCTGCTTATTCCGCAGGCCATCCAAGAAGAACTCATACCTCATACGAGGTTCGTGATAGTCCAAGGCTTCACACATAGTCGAGATCCTGTCTCCCCACTCCTCGGCAGACTCGACACGCTTCCTCTTGGCAGCCTTGAGTCGGCTCCACAGTTGTGCAGGAGTCTGGCAGATAAATCGGTTGTGGAACCGCACCCTCAGAGCTTAAAAGCTATCGATCCTGGAGTTGTACCACCACTCTTGACCAATCTTGCCCTTAAGGCACTGCTCAAACGCCGTCAACCTCATCTGGCCGTCCATACCATGCGTGAACTTCTCGAAGGAACGCCAAAATGCCGCCGCCCTTTCACTCGTAGCGGTGTCGGAGTAGAATGGAACGATCACCTTCACGGCGTTCCGCAACTCCGTTGGGATGCCCACTTTCGGCTCGTTTCGTCTTGGTTGCGTCCCAATCCCTAGTGCAGCATAATCACCACCATGGCCGTGCGCCCGGTTCACCATGGGTCCTTGAGGGTACGCCGAGTGCGTCTGGTAGCCCCCTCCTTGGTCACTGAACTCCTACCAAGCCCAAGGCCTCCCATGCTCGCAGGCACCTGATTCGCAGGAGCTGCCGACCACGCTGACAGCGTTCCACCAGAGTTCCATCCAGCCGTGGGTGTTATCGGAGGTTGGAACGGCGGATAAAGCGCCCCTCCATCGTTCCTGCTGGTGCTCGGCGCCCGTATGGTCACGCCACCGTAGGACGGGATTGCAGCCATCGGCATCCCCACTGGCGTCAAAGCCAGTGCCGGTAGCGTCACCCTAGGAGCCATCGAACCTTGATACCCGAGCATCGGCGTACCAACCGGTCGAGTCTGACCGACGAAGGCGTTCCCTGTGGACGCCGGCGCTGGCGTGACACAGGCCTCGCCCCTGTAGGTCGTGGCGTCCTTGTCGGCATTCCAGTCGAGTCTGACAGCCTCTGGAGTGCCCGACTGAACGTGTCGACCAACATCTCTTGTAACGCAGAGTCCGACGTCGGCGCTTCGGCCCTCCTTGTCGGCTTCTCCGCCGCCCGCGCTGGCGTTCTTCCTTGCCTCCCGGGCGTGCCACTCTCCGGAAACGGCGTTCCAGCCACACCATGGCGTTCCACCACACGCGGAGAAGGGTGCGTCTTCGTTCCTCTCGTGTCTAACGCCGCACCGGCTGGCGTTACCGTCGGTACCTCGCCTCGTGTCTCGCTCACAAGAGGTAGCGACGGCCTCGACGCATCGAAGGAGAACTCGTCTCCTTGCCGAGCTCTCGGGGTCGACATCGCGGCGTTCGCGGTCTCACCAGCCGTCGTCCTCGCCGGAGTCGGCTCTTCGCTCGGCGCAGGTTGGCGTGCCAGCCGCGCGAGGAACTGGTTGAACATCTCGCGGTCCCGGGGCGTGTCCAACACCGACTCGGCCATCCTTCTCGCTCTTGGAGACAGAGGTTCAGACCCGAGCGTCCCCTCTCTGTCCCTTCGAGCCTCGCGACCCTCGGTCCAGGGTTCGGTTCTTCTCGGCGTTCCTCGTTCCGAACCCTCGTTTGACCCGCCCCTAGTCGCAGTTCCTCCACACGCGTCACCCTCGACGGATCCTACTGCGTGCTCTTCGTCTTCGTCTTCGCGGATCTCAGCAGGAGGTGGCGCCTCCGTCTCAAGCGGGGGAGCCTACCCACTGAGCCCCTCACCCGCTTCCTCTCCTAGTCCCTCTCCGGACCACCCATGAGAGCTCATGTTCCGCTCTCGCTACCCTTTTCCCTCGCCTTGGCGTTCCATTACCAAGGAACTTCGAGTTAATCTCTTTCTGCGCTTTCGTTCGGGCGAGAAGATACCCTGCTTCTCCACCACACTGTCGCGGTCTTCCTCCTTAGTGT